ATACATACATACAAGTATATTTATATATATACACATACATATATATATATATAAATACATATACACGTATGTATTGTGTGTATATATATACGTACATACATACAAAACAATCAATATATATATATATCCACATACAAATACAAATTTATAAACATAAATCCTCCTATATAAATATATACAAAATAAAAAAATATTCAAATAGATATATATAGGAATATATATATTTATATTTGTATTTGTACATAGATATGAATATATATATATATGTATATATGTGTATTTTTTTACTTTTTATTTTTATTTTATTTTATTTTTTTGCATTTTTTTAGATTTTTTGTTTTTATTTTTTAAAATTTTGTTTTTTATTTTTTTTGTAATTTTTTGGATTTTTTGTTTTTTTTTTTAAAAAAAATATGACGTGGCATGCTGACATGACAAAATTTTCATGTGGCGTGCCATGTCAGATGCCACGTGGCATGCCACGTCATCAGTTAACGGACATTTAACACCGTTTTTAGATTGTGTAGGAAATTGCAGTTAAATTGGGTAGTTCGTGTATCAATTTGGTATATTAGATAATTTGGTGTAATTTTTTGTCAAATTAAAAATTCGTGTAGAAAAAGGTAACATTTAACATAATCGGTGTAGGAAAATGTCATTTTCCCTAAATTATAATGATTTTCTACATACATATACATAAAAACAGCAATGAAGATTAAAAAAGAATCTAAGCCGTTCATTGAAGATCTAATGATAACAAGTTGAGATCAGACGGTGATAAGATCGTCGGATACGGAATAGCGTATGCTCCGAAACGAGTTCACAATTATTGAACGACGAAGATACGAACGAGATATAATGCGTGCATGGAGCGGGATCATGACACGTGGACGGCTGAGATCGCCTCGTTTGGACTATAAATTGGAGCCTCCCCTCCCACGTTGTTTCACATCAGCGATTGATTTAGCTTCTGATATTACTTTTCGGTGAATTTGGAGCTCTGTGAATTTTCTCGGGAAAATGTCTTGCTGCGGAGGAAACTGCGGGTGTGGATCTGGCTGCAAGTGCGGCAGTGGCTGCGGAGGGTAAGATTGGAGTCTGTTTTCCCCCTCGTTTGTTTCTCGAGAAAATCGTTGTTGTTTGCTGCAATGATCTGTGTCCAGGGCCATGCATCTTTGATGTTTGATTTGTGTGAGTTTTGTTTTTCAAATTTGAGAAATGTTCAAGCAAATCGTCTTCATATTCATGGCTCCAACATCTCCTTCCGTTTTTTTTTTTTTGAAATATTATCGGTTCTGTTTTTAATTTGAAATCCCTCGTAGATCTTGACGATTTCCATCGCTGAAATCAAATTAGTTTCCGTAATAGTTGGATTGGATGTTTGGATTTGTTTGAATTTTGAATTTCGGCATGTTGATTCTTCACTGTATGAGATCCAAGCGGAATTTTCCGTTCCTGAACCGACGATCTCCATTCGCACCGATCATGACGTACTTTTTTTTTTTCTCGGTTTATGTTCTCTTCCGTAGATGCAAAATGTACCCCGACGTGAGCTTCTTCGGCGAGAACACCACCACCGAGAGCCTTGTCCTCGGCGTTGCTCCGACCATGAAGGCCGTATACGGAGAGGCTTCCGGCGAAACCGGCGCCGAGAACGGAGGCTGCAAGTGCGGTTCTGACTGCAAATGCGACCCTTGCACCTGTAAATGAAGAACCCTAATGTGCCGCTTAGGTGCTGCAGTAGCTTTGTAATAATAACCCTTAATGGTGATTTAGGTTTGGTTCTATTCTACGTCGTAAATAAGAATATCCGTCGCCGGAAAACTTTGTTTCCGGCGGCTGCTGGTTTCGTCGTGTTGTCGTTAAGTTTGCGTGAATGTCTCTGCGGTCCAGTCTTAAAATTGAGATGACTAAAGTTTGCTACTTTCTGTATGGGTTAAGAATTTCATATTCTGCGGGTTTAAAAATAACTATATATTTATTTATTTTTTTTATAATCTAAAAGTTCACCCAATCTATCTCAACTACAACAAAAAAAAAAACTATATATTAATAATATTGGTTTATGTAATTTGTATATGATCTTTGATTCAATTATACCAAAACGAACCGAAATGTCATCACTAATTAATTGCACGTCATAATAAAAAAATATATTATTAAAGATATAACGTATAACTTTAAATATAAAATTAATTTTCACTCATTATTAGCATACATGAATGAAAAATCAGTGGAGAAAATCTAAAAATGAAAACAATATGACAGTGCTCTGCACCATTGATTTCTCAAGATCGGATGGCTCTCCGCTATTCTCGATCTGATAAGATTACAACAGACACGCTTAAGATAAAATTTTCCTCACGATGGATCCGACGGTCCAGAATCGCCCCCGTGCCTTTGGATTGCATACGTGTTCAATGGCCAGTGCATCAATGAAATGCCGTTTGAGATTCAAACTTTCTGTCCCCAACATTATACCCTCTGCCGTTAACGTCCGTTAAAAACCCCTTGGATTCCCGTTCCAATTCCATGGTTATGATAACCGGATTCTTCTAACCGAAACTTCCGGTTCTACATCTTTAATTATTTTTAAGAGATTGCAAGTGAATTTAAAGACGAGTCAAATCAAAACGTTTAAATTCTATTGTACAAAATCAATTATTAATTTAAATATTTATTTATGAAAATAAATCTGGTTTAAATGTACACGTTCATATACGATATAATTGCAATAGTCTCAAATTCATTATATGTAAAGTGGTAAAGTTTAGATAATATATGACAATACAAAGTCTTTTTTTATCAATGAGTTATAAAAAAATCAATCTATAATACATACAACTCATTATAAAATATAAAAAAACAATTATAATTTAGAATTAACAATTTTATGTTTTAGTTCATCTCATGTATTTTAAAAATTTTGTTTGTCAACAGGACTGGAATATCTCATGAATTTGAATAAATTAATAAATCAATAAAAACAATTAAATAATGACAAAAATATTCCGCTTTGGTTCGGTTAAAAAGTCCGGTCAGGTTTCTTGCGTGGACCGTCCGGTCCGGTCCAGGGGAAGATAAGATAGACATTAAGAGAAGGTAACGGTGGCCGGGTAACGGAGATGACGGTAGAAGAAGTATTCGTTATAATAGCAGTGCCCTTTTAACTCTTTATATATATATTTTTTATTTCGATCGGTTTTCTCTCTCATCTCTCTGGTTCAACGGGCAAAGTATTTTTCGAAAAAAGTTTTGATTTTTTTAACGTTTCCTTCTCCTTCTGCTGCTCGCGAGATCTTAAATCCCTCTATCGATGAGCCACAGTTCGAATCCAGCCGCTTGTTCTCGGGAAAATGTCGGTCTTCGCCTCGAACTTGAATCGTGTTGTTGGTCTTGCGATCGGGTTGTAGTTTTCTTCTGGCGTCTCTGATTCGTGTCGTTGTTCTTGTGATCGGATTGTAGTTTTCTGTTACTGATTTAGTTCGCGATTGTTGGTGCTGATTCGGAGCCTTGTTTTACGGTTTCGTAAACAAAGGGTTTTGTTTATTTCCGTGACTAGAATTTATAGAAACCCTAGGTTTTGAGTTTGAGGGTATTGAATTGTGAACTGATGAATTCTTGATTATGAGATCAAAATTGTGTTTGCTTCGTGCTTTGCGACTGTTGGGTTTCTAGGGTTTGCTGATTTTGACTGGTTGTTTTGGTGGAGATTCGATATTAATCTTTTTTGGTTATAAGATTGGTTCTTATGAGATTCTGGTATTTTGATTAATGGGGATGGATTTTGTAGGAGACTGGTGAAGTGAGAATTGAGGATCAGTGCATGGAAAACAAGCAACTAACAGCTGCTTCAAGCTCGTCTATGTCCGAAGGCAGTGGCAATAGTCTCCTCAAGACACCCGGAGCTGCAAGTCCCGCCACTGCATTTCATACTCATCGGTATCATCCGAATTGATTCCTTTTCCATATACCGATTCATATTTTTCATAGTGTATCTAAATTCAGCTGTGGATTTTGCAACATTCTTCTCCAGTTTCACGCCAAACCCGTGCATTGAAGTTTGATTTTGCAATTGTTAAGTGTTTCTTTCTCTTACAAGATCCACCTTCCAAATCTGCAGGAGGACCACAGGCCCTATAAGACGAGCAAAAGGCGGCTGGACTCCTGAGGAGGTTTGTGATTGGTTCCTCCTATTCTATGTTTGATCCGTGGTTCCACTTTCTTGCTAAGGACTGTGACATGTGGTAGTGAAGCTGCTGTGTACAATCTCACCTGAATTTGGTTGTTTTTCGTAGAGTTTAAAAACTATTCTATGAATAACGCAGGATGATACTCTGAGAAAAGCTGTTGAGATGTACAAAGGAAAGAGCTGGAAGAAAATAGGTTTGCTTTTCAAAATCTACCTCTAGTAACTGTGGTAACACTATCACTGATGCCTCGAGATTAGTGGTCTACTAAAATTTGAAATTGGAAAGTGTGTAAACTGTTTCTATGATCGGGATTCCAAGCTCGAGTCTTGTCCTAAAATGTTCTAATCAATCCTTGGAAATTTCATACTTTTTATTCGTTCTCCTAATAGTTCCATGGTTATCTCTTATAAAATTGATCAGGTTTGCACATTGCAAGAAAACTTTAATCTCATTTGTTCTTTTTTTCTTGGGAGTTTACAATAGCTTGTTTGAGCTACTGTTCTTTTCATTTGACTTGGTTCGACCGGTTTATGTATTTGTTCACAGCGGAATTCTTCCCCGATAGAACAGAGGTTCAATGCCTGCACCGGTGGCAGAAAGTACTTAATCCCGAGCTTGTCAAAGGACCCTGGACTCGAAAGGTTATTTTTCTTTTCGCTGAGATTTTTTTTATGCAAGTTTATATGAAACTTGAGGGCTTAAAATTCTGTTTCTTTCTTCTCTGGTTTTGCAGGAGGATGATAAAATTGTAGAACTTGTTCAACAAAATGGGCCTCGGAAATGGTCTCTTATTGCCAGGTCTTTACCAGGTCGTATAGGGAAGCAATGCCGAGAAAGGTAATTTGTGTAAGCAAGTGTATGTTGATACAGGGAATAAGTTCATATCTATGATTGGTTATAAAAACATCGATGTGTTTTTATTCACCTGAGTTCATTGCCTGGCTATTTGCAGGTGGCATAACCATTTGAATCCTGATATTAAAAAGTATGCGTGGACTGAAGAAGAAGAGTTAGCTCTGGTAAATGCTCATCGAATATATGGCAACAGATGGGCTGAAATAGCTAAAGCCTTACCCGGCAGGTATGCTAATATGCTTTTCTTGTTGAATTAATTGGAATTAGATATTGAACTCTCTGAATCATTCGGCAAAGCTGCTAATGCTGTCATCAAGCTGCAGACTTGTTATGGATTTTAACTCTTAGCAGCTCTAGCCATAAATGTGCTTGGTTATATTGAAATATCCGATACTTGCAGTCATTTTAACATTTTTTCGCGTGCATATTAATGGAATAGCAACGGCGACATGAACTTTGAACTGCACAAAATGGCTCTCAAATACAAACTAGTCGTAAATAACTCCGTTGAGTTCTCATTCTTTGTTCATAATAACCCTAATGCCTATGGTTTTATGAAAACTTTACTTGACTCTCACTCAGGACTGATAATGCGATAAAGAACCACTGGAACAGTTCATTGAAGAAAAAGTTAGATCTTTACTTAGCTACGGACAACCTGCCACCAGCAGCGAAGTACGGCTTTGTCAATGGCATAAGAGACCATGGTGTTGCTGACACGGCCCGAGATTCCACTAAACCTTCATCTTCTTGCCAAAACAAGGATTCTGATTCAGTTGCCCAAACCTCTTCTGGGACTACAGATGTAAACAAACCAGATGAAGATGGAAGAGACCACACCAATTCTTCAGCTCCACTTGAAGAAGCAGCTGCTGCTTCGTCAAGAATCCGTATTAATGAGAATGCGCGCTCTCCTGCTGTGGAGTACAAGTCTCGATTGCATAATTCCGAGCCATTTCCAGAGAATGTAGTTAACTCGAACTCGAGAGGTTATGAGGACAGATTAGCCCACACGGAAGAAGAAGGGTTTGGAACTCCAGAGCATGGTTTTCTGTTCTACAGGCCTATGGTTGACTTGTACTTGTCATCAGAGCCGGATTTCCAGCGTGGATATTATGCATATGGATGTGGTCGCAGTCCAGGTTCATCGCCAGTTAGCTTCTTCACTCCACCTTGTACGAAGAGTAGTGGTAGTTTTGCTTCAAGAAGTCCTGAATCTTACCTCAGAGAGGCTGCTAGGACATTTCCAAACACACCCTCTATCTTTAGGAAGAGACGGAAATCTGTTAATGTTGGGAAAATGGATGATACCAGCAGTTCAGACATGGAGGCTGATAAAAGCGAGAACTTTGAAGATAGTTCAGAGAAGTCTCCAGCTGGAAGAGAAGGCTTGTCTGAGAGATCTGGTTATCAAGATGGCAAAAACCTCGGGTCAAAGGGCAGTGGTTGCGATGTGTCTCCCCCATATCGGCTAAGGTCCAAAAGAACAGCAGTCTTCAAATCAAGACAACTTGAGTTTCTGCCTGAGAAAGAGAATCCAGGTGTGACGAAAACAAAATCTTCTCAGGTTACTTACATATGAGAGGATAAGTTAGAAGGAACCTCCTTCCCTTCAACTCAGAGAAAGAATCATTAAAAATCTCCGAGTAAAGAGTTTCCATCTTTCCCGGCACGATAGATTCTTGTTCTATCCCTGTGCGTTTATGCATAATCTTTCACCATTTCAGGTACAGGGAGCATGTGAAAAACTCGGAGCGTTTCCACGAGAATCATCGGTGAATGCCATTAAAGTTCTCTTCAGACTCTTGATTGCAGGCTTTTTCTTCATCAATCTAACACAGTAACTAAGAATCATGCACACTTTCTGCTGAAGCTCGGACACGACGACTCACATGGCTGTAGATATGAGATCATCTTTATGACCAATTGATTCTGTACAGAACTTCTTATTGAAGAAGAGTTGATAATTTTTTCTATACGCCATCTCTATGGTTTGTAAAGGTCGAGGGGCTCTCTACAAAAATTGAGATAGTTTGGGGTTTATTTAAAATTTTGTTTAAATTATAGGTTTCTTTTTCTTTTTACACATTGGCCATGCTTCAGACCATAGAGACCAGTCTTCTTTAGGCTAAAGAGCTGAATTCATTCCAATGGCCCCAAACTGTTCTCTCTCTCTTGTGTGTTAACAGGTTTTGTCGTTGAGTATGCTTGAACAAAACTTCTTGAAATGTAACTAGGCACTACATGAACATGATTGCATTAACAATAACCAAGACTCTGTGAATGAACCTCAAGCAGAACAAATGCAATCCCTTCCAGCAAAAAAGTAAAAACAAGGAACAGGTAGGTAAATCCTCAAGTAAGAACTTACAAAATGGTCAGGAGAATAATGCAGAAGGAGCGAAGCAATCCATCCACCCCCCCATGAAAGATTAGTATCATGGATTGCTCACCGTCCGAGCAACGAGACGCGATCTTTCTGTATTGCCTGTGTAAGGTTGACGTCAAAAAGCTCGCACCTGATAGGCATTTCCATCTCATAGAAAGGATTCTTCAAAACATAATCGGTATATAGCTCGTATATGGACTTCAAGAGGCTCTCCATGTATGGAGTTCCCGGTTCACAAACCACGAAAAACTTTGTTCCTGAATGGACAAACATCATAATCACATCTCAAAATTCTATCAAGTACCATTTTAAATTTTTTTTTTTTAAAACCCTACATTCATACCAGTGAGAGACTGAAAGCAGTGGAGATCAAAGGTGTCAGCTTCAAGGAGCTCGATTCCTGAACAACCGGTAACAGGTGATAGCTGCTGAGAAATTGCATGCATCGAATGCCATAAACTGGCCACTCTCAAGCTGTCATTTGTATCCATCCGTCCCTTCGATCCATAGTCCTGAATTTTCCAAATCCAAACACACATTGCTTTAGCCGAGCACGGAAAGAACAAACTTTACACGTCGAGCTATCAAAAACCATTTGCAATAAGCGAAATTTCACGCTGGATCTTCGCCACAGATTTTGATCGTGGAGGGTCAAAATCCATTGTCAAAACTATATATTGAATCCTTTTCTTCTTTCTTCTCAAAAGCAAGCAAACGAGCTTTCTTTGTTCATCTAATCTCACCGAGCATCTCAAATTCCACTCTGTAATTCTTCTCTTCTCTCTCTCTCATTTGATTGAGAACCAAACAAACCAAACAGGAACATCACACCATCAAACCACAAATCCCACCAGTTCGTTTCACTCCCAAAGTCAAAGTTCCTAAACTTGGTAAATTCTACCACTTTCAGTTTATAGATTCTCTCGGGAGCTAAATATAAGAAAACAGAGCCTGAATCCTATCGTTCTATTCGCATACTCTCAAATCAGAGAGCGAATAGTGTCATCTCGTCACAAGCCCATTGCTTCTAGATCTCATGATCCCAAATACTTTCTCTTCCCGCACTTTCTCAGTAACCAAACAGGCTAAAATTCACAACCAACGCCTACCAGGGAAACAAGTACAGAGAAAGAGATCGTACCTTGTAGAATATCAAACCACCAGACTTATTGATAATGTAAAGACTGTAGATCGCTGCCATGAACGAGAAAAATCGACGATCCGATCCTTCAACGATATCTGCGAGAACATATACGATGAACTGCAGATCCTGATAAAGAAAGAAAACTAAGAAATGAACGATTTTTTTATTTAAACCCTAATTTCAATCTGACAAAGAAAAACTGTTTTCAACATTTCGTATTCTAAACGACGCCGTTCTATATCGAACGTACGGAATCGCGCCACGTCGACAGTCTTCAGGTTGTCCACCTAAACGGCGTCGTCGAAAGAAAACAAGTAAAGAAAATTTGCATAAATTCATAATAAACTCTACAATCGTACTTTCATATCTATATGTTGATACGAAAAAAAATATATGATGTCGGTCGGCAGTATGTTAATCTTTTCTAAAATATTTATCAAAGAAGTTTTCAATACGTAAATGTATGTACTGCACGGTAGATCTCAAATAAATAATAAAAATATAACCGAAGGATATTAATTAACATATTAGCTTTATATAAGCTTTGTGATATAGACATTTTTATAGACAATATTCAGTGTAATGTACTTTGAATTTGTTTGCTGAAAAAGAAAAATTAGGATTAGATATCATAATTTGTGTCAAATCACGAAAGGTAAATGCCCTTGAATCAGCCCAATGGGTTTTAATGTTTACTTGTTGGGTTTGGGCCTGTGGCCCATCTATTACCATTAAGGTGCAACGCTGTCGTTTTGCATCCTTCCAGCGTGACTCAATACCGAATACAGCAATTATGTTCATAATCAATAAATATAGATCTGAATATCCAACATGAATACAAAATATTTAGTAACTGAAAACTAGACAAAGCCTATCATATGGTTTTGAGAAGGAAAAAAAATGTGGTCTTCCTCTGACTAAGCAGCCATATCTTCATATTGCCATGGATTGAACTGAATAGATTTCACATGGGCGGCGTTACCTTCACTGCCATCTGCATCTGCATCTGCATCTGCTCGGTGCTCTGCATATTTTCCGTTGTATCGGTAAACTTCAAGGTCGCCCCATGGCGTTGGAGTGATGTCCTCCGTTATATCGAACCATCTAGGGGTGAATTTATGGCCTCTCTCTTCTCGGGCTCTCTTCTCAGCTCTCTGTCTCTCCTCCAGGCTGAGAAAACCGAAACAAAACCCGGGTATCAGTATTTCTTCGTTTTTTCAGATGCTACACTTCTGTAGAGGTCTGGTGTCTATGATATGGTCATGTTCATATTCCCACTCTGTCACTGAACAGTGATCATGTTGAAAATACCTGCTCTTTTCACAGCCGGACTTGGACATATCTCCCATCTCGAGTGCGTATCTGTCGGAGCGTAGACGCGAGTCAGATGCCAGCAGTTTTTTTGGGGCCGTGTCGAAGCTATTGATCTTGTGAGCAAATTGCGTGTATTGGAATTTGTCATTCTTTGGTGCATCAGCAAGCCTCCAGACCTGTGGTTGTAGATGATCGATATGGTGTCAGTAAGACTGCAACCTGAGAATGATGAAAAGAGTGTGAACAAACCTCTTCGAGTTCAGTGCCTGGGAGAGGTTCACCTTCTATGTCACATGGCTGATAACTCATGGACTGGTTCCATTTCCCGGTCATTAGTATCTTTGGCTCCTCTGCTGCATTATACACGTATCCATCCACCTCATATCGACCAGCTCTGTTCACATTTCAGATTTAAACGGAAAAGCATGAAGATGATTAATTTCATTTGAAGTTACTATTAGCCTGGTTGCAATGGTGGGTGGAACTAGAAACTACAAATTATATGGGTTCTAGATGTTGTTAAATCGAGATGAAGAACATACCCGAACCAGCCACATGGTTGAAAATAAAGCACGGCTTTATCACCGCTGGTTAGGTTTGTCATGATCATCTCCCCAGGTGAATCAACCCAAGTTCTTCCAAAGATTAGGTTGTGAACCTTAGTCGGTGGAGGTACCAAGTCAAGGACCACGCCATCTCTTTTAAGCGTCACTCTTGTCCTGCATACATACATGTTCATCGACACAAGGTCAATAGGCGTAAAAAAGAAGGCTTTTTGTGTTCCAGGATGTACCGATGTAGAATGTAAAGTTCATACATTTGGAGTTTTGTCGAGTTTAAGAGGGTACCTTCCCACTGGATAGACATCAATCGAATTGCCAAGGAATTTCGTTTTCAGTTTCGAAGTCACGTCGTATGCGAAATGCTCGTTTTCCGCATGACCGGCACTCATAGGAGGGTGATGACTGACCTGATGAACAAATCATTATCAGCATCATAGATCTAATAACCTTGGACAATTTCTCAGAACTCAAGAGGAAGGAACACAGTTACACAGGTTCTAAAGCAGAGCCTCACCTGCTCAGATATGAAACTGATCCCACCATGATTGGTCATCTCATAAGTTTCCCCGAGAATTGGATTGAACGGCTTCCATGTACGTTGGTAAGCATAATAGACGGATATAGCCCATGATGCTGTAAATATCAAATACAATTAAACACTCTGAGACCAAACCTAACAGCATAATTAATTCTGCTCGCATATAAACAAGGCTGGAAAGACAGAGACAAGACAGTGATTAGAGATGTGCTTACAAGCATAGACCAATCGCATGTAAGGGTCCTCAGTTTTATCTGCCATGTCTAGCAGGTGTGAGTATTCCATCAACTGCCAGCAACAGGACAAGGATACGGGTAAAGGATTTGAATCAACAGCAGAGTAAAAGATTATCAGGTCAAAACATATATCTTCACACGATCTGATCCCAGAGCACGAACCTCTGCCATTTTCTGCAGCATCGTCATGGGTTCAAAAATAATCACAGGAAGGGTCACCATAGATGTAACGTCTGCTCCTATGTACTTCTGCATCATCTTCCAATAGCCATCACGGTCCTGGAAAGGGGTAAAAAGATATGTTCTTGGAAGATTAGATCAACTAATTTTGCTGGTTTTGGTAATTATAAACAATGTGAATCACGGGGAAGTTCTTTATTGAAACGAGCAGTGTACCTCTTGCTTCCATCTTCCTCTCCTTGCTTCCTCCTCCGCATCTTCGGTCCCTCCTTCAGGATTGATAACTTCGAGCCCTTCATATCCCATCAAACTGAGAAACAAAGCAAAATCCAATAAATTGAATTGGAATAAAAACACACAAGCAGAATTAGCAACAACAGTGGTGTGGACTCGACGATCTAGGAAACCAACGATTAGCATATGAATAACGAAATAAAACAAAATTTCCACAATTCAACAACAAAAACGAGGCAGAATTCGAGCATTAACGGCTAAAATACTGGCAGATCCGATTTTGAGCGCAACAAAATTCACAGAGGGGATCTCAATTACTTACCCGTTAACTGATTTGCTCATGGCCGATCCGAAATTGGAGATCGTAGAAGTAATAGAAGCGAAGAAACCGCCACCTCCGGCGCCAGTTGTCGGATCGTTGGGAGCCATCTCCGCCGCGGATCCGCGCTCTTACCGCAGTAACAGCTCCACCGAAGAACCAATGCGGAGGAATCGAGCGATGATGTTTTTGCGTGAGATCCAATCGGATTTCCTTAAAGAGATGGAAAAAAGTAAAGAGATTCTGCAATAATGGAGGACCAGCAATGAATGAAGATGAAGACGACGATAAGAGACCGTCTGCTGGTCTTCGTTGGCGGTTCTACGATTTGAAGTGGCATTGTATCAAAAATACCTTATTTTGGTATTTTAAATTCAAGAGGTAGCCTTCTTCAACATGTAAACTTATCAATATAGTTTTAGTCACATTTTGATTTTATTGATTATAATGTTAAATTTACGGTGATCACATTGATTCATTATGTTCATACATTTGAATATTTTACTAACCATTTAATTAAAACATCATAAATTTAACGTTATAAACAATGAGATAAATATCTGATCATAAAGTCACATGTTATAATTTAAGAAAAAAAAGTATATATTGAAGTCAATAAAACACGAATGATTCTATTTAAAAAAACGGATATTTTTTTCGCATTATACTTATTAATTTATTTAATATCTAAACTGGTACGTTTCGTTGTTGTTTTCCCGGTTTTTTGGTATACAATATACGATTGAGTAAAAAATAGTATAGAAGTAAATGAAAATAATTTAGAGAATTGAATCATATTAGAAAAATATATACTTATAAAATTAAAATAGTTTAAAAAATAAAAATTTGAAATTGTATAATATAGAAATTTTAATCTATATGAGCATTCGACCTTCTTTCCCATGAATAACCATTATGTATATGTAAATTCAACAACATCGTAATCGGAATGTTTATTACCACTTGCACATGAGATGTCATATTATTTTGCTCATCTACAGCCTGATTAGCCTCGTTTTGTACAATTCAAAAACTTTACGGCATTAATACCAAATCACATTTCATCAAAAAAAAAAAAATTCAACATCATGTATTTGGGTTTTCGCAATTGTATGGAACCGGTTAAGTTGTGAATTTTATTGGTCGGGCTAACCAAACCGGTCCAAATTGTGTATTGGGCCGGGCCTAACCATTCTGAACATAGTCTTAAGCTTCAATAATGGGCCGGGCCTAATCGTACCCCCAGTTAGAAAAGTACTCGAGTATAATTTATTAATGGGTGGAATGTGGGAACATTATTTCTACATGTTAGCATATACATAATATAGTATATGTATATATTTATGTATGTATAGATTACATAAACTTTTCAATAAATTATTTTTTATTCGATACAACGGGTCTATTTTTTGTATGTGCGAAATAGCAGCATTTATTTAATATTTAATGTCATGTCATGGATGGATAATTCAAAAATAAATATTTTTAAAAATGATAGACTATACAAAAAACGAGTTTGTGAATCTCTCTCCCCCTCACCTAACGTGACATTGGAACAAGACGTCCCCACTTTGAAGTCAAATAAGAAAATAAATAAATAAATAAATAAACAAACAAAAATCAGATGATATATTTAAGAAAATGACGTTGGGATTAAACTTTCCAACCACCCTTCACTTCATCCAAAGATTGATGCTAGTGGGGTGGGTGAAATTAGATTTTTTAAATATTATATTTTTTGGTGGTGAATAATTAATTGTGTAATTAAACTCAGTTATTTTAAATCTATAAGTTTTCATTCTCATATCTAATACCTAGTATATACAAGTTAAGAGTGAATTGATATAAAAAAAATATATATTATTTTTGTATTCATTTGGTTACCATCAAAATTATTAACCAGAGCTTATTTAAATTATGAATCTATTGGAGATATTTGTAATATCTCAGCATATATTCATATATCTCATAAGTTTAGGAAAGTTGTTACGCTAGGTTAACTCTCTCATGTGTATATATACTAATGTAACTATCATTGTGAATTAAGCTCAATAATAAAGTCTTTCATGGTATCAGAGCCCTTGTCTAACGACCCTTGATCCAAATCTTATTTTCGCCGCCGCCTCCTTATTTTTTTTCCTGCGCCGATTTCTGTTTCGGCTCCCCTGCCTCTTCTCCGGCGTTACTCTGTTTCGCATTCCTCTTTGCTGCCATGTCTTCCTCTGATGTTGCTGCTGCTTCCGCGACCCACACCGACACCGAGACTGTCGTGTCGTTCAATCCAGCGAAACCACGCACCTCTCTCCTCACCGTCAACATGACGAACGTGACAAAACTCACTCCGTCGAACTACATTACTTGGAGTGTCCAAATTAAGGCACTTCTCGAAGGCTATAACCTCGATGGTTTTATCACTGATGACGACACTATCCCGTCGTCGTTTCTGCTCTGCGATGGTGTGTCCAGCCCGAATCCAGCATTTGCTCCCTTTCGTCAACAAGATCGACTCCTTTACAGTGCTCTTATTGGCTCGATCTCCACATCTCTTCAACACCTTGTTGCTAGGTCTGCTTCGGTCAGAGACGCTTGGCAAACATTGGCCAACACTTACGGGAAAGCTTCACGGTGACATTTGCTTCAACTCCGTGATCAAATTAAGCGTTGCGTGAAGGGCACACAATCGATTGATGAATACATTCGTTTCATCACGTCGAAGGCTGATGAACTTGCGCTGCTTGGTAAACCTCTAGATCTTGAAGATCTGCTTGAGTTTATTCTTGATGGTCTCCCGGACGATTACAAGTCAATCATTGATATGGTTCATGCTAAGGATGTGCCGATTTCTGTTGAGGAATTGCATGAGAAGCTGATACATCACGAGGCAAAACTTGCTGCTGTTGCTCCGCCGGTGCTATCCTCTTTACCAATCTCTGCCAACCCGGCGAACTCTCGTTCACGTTCGTCCTCTCGCGATCATGGTAACTATCGCGGGCAATCATGGTCTCGGAACTCCTCTGGTCACAATCGCGGTTATCAAGGCCGCTGCCAGGCTTGCGGCGTTTTTGGGCATAGTGCTCCTCGGTGCCCGCAGTTCCGCATTATCTCTGCTGCTCCTGCGGGTTCCTCGGCATCACCCTCTCCGCGCCCTTGGCATCCATCAGCAAATCATGCTTCGGTTTCTTCTCTTGACTCGGGGTCTTGGCTAGTTGATAGCGGTGCCTCTCATCATATCACCTCTGATCTCGCTACTCTATCTCTACATAGCCCTTATCGAGGAGGTGATGATGTTGTCCTCGGTGATGGAACGGGTCTTCCCATCACACACACTGGTTCTACATTTCTGCCCTCTCATAGTCGTTCCTTACAACTTGAGAATGTTTTATGTGTTCCCTCGATGGAGAAAAACTTAATCTCAGTTTATCAGCTTTGTAATGCTAACAATGTGTCTGTGGAATTTTTTCCTAATGCGTTTCAGGTGAAGGATCTCTCCACGGGGGCGCCACTAATCTGAGGTCTTCCTAGGGACGGGGTTTATGTCTGGCCGGCGCCTTCCTCTTCTTTGTCCACTCCACTTGCCTTCTCGTGTCTTACACCTTCTGTGTCTGTTTGGCATTCTCGCCTTGGTCACCCTGCGTCTTCCATTTTACGTCATGTCGTTTCTAAGTTTAATATTTCCTTGTCTTCCGACTCTTCTTTGATTTGTGATTCATGTTCGATTAATAAGAGCCATAAGCTTCCATTTTCGGTTTCCTCTTTAAATTCTTCTCGTCCTCTTGAGTTATTATTTTCGGATGTATGGACATCCCCGGTTATTTCGGTTGATGGCTTCAAATATTATGTACTTTTCGTTGACCATTTCACTCGTTATTCCTGGCTTTATCCTCTTAAACGTAAGTCCGATGTGTATGACACATTCGTCCGCTTTAAAGCTCTTGTTGAGAATCGATTCTCGACCAAGATTATGACGCTTTACTCGGATAATGGTGGGGAGTTTCTCGCGCTCTCTTCTTTTCTTTCCACTCATGGTATATCTCATTGTACCACCCCACCTCATACACCGGAACATAATGGGATTTCCGAGAGAAAACACCGTCACATTGTTGAAACGGGTCTTTCTCTCCTTCATCGTGCGTCTATTCCTTCGTCTTATTGGTCGTATGCTCTTTCCACGGCCACATACCTCATCAACCGAATGCCAACATCTGTTTTATCCATGCAATCACCCTTTGAGGCTCTTTTCTCTACACCTCCAAACTACTCGAAACTGCGTGTGTTTGGGTGTCTTTGCTATCCTTGGTTGCGCCCATATGCATCCAACAAACTTGACCCAAAATCTCGTGCTTGTGTCTTCCTTGGTTACTCCTCTACGCAAAGTGCGTACTTTTGTTTTGATCGGGCTACCTCTCGAATGTTTGTCTCTCGTCATGTGGTTTTCCATGAGTCCTCCTTTCCTTTTGCTCAGTCCTCGGCTTCTATGGATTCTGTTGAATCGTCGACTTCGTCTCTCTCGGCTGATTCTCCTGCGTCTCGTGTCTTACCCTTCTCGCCGCCGGTACGTCCCTCCTCCACTGATGGTCCCGTGAGTGCAGATTCTTCTCCTGCGGAGCTTGAGGAACTTTCCTCGTCACCTGTGGCTGTTTCTCCGACTGACTCCGATGATCGAATCCTGGCGGCGGCTGATGTTTCTCAGCAGTCTTCACCGTCTCCCACTCGGAATCGTCATCCGATGCTGACTCGGGGTAAGAACAATATAGTCAAGCCGATTCAAAAATTCACCTTGGCAGCTTCTCTCATAGATTCTGACAGGGAACCGAGTTGTGTTACTCAAGCCTTGAAAGACCCGAGATGGAGGCAAGCTATGAGTGACGAGTTCGATGCTTTGATTCGGAATGGCACGTGGGATCTGGTTCCTCCGGTTGACATTACTAATGTTGTTGGCTGTCGTTGGGTGTTTCGCATCAAGAAAAATCCGGATGGATCAATTGATCGGTTCAAAGCTCGTCTTGTTGCTAAGGGTTTTCACCAACGGCCCGACATTGATTTTCAGGAGACTTTTAGTCCGGTTGTCAAACCCACTACCATTCGAGTTGTGCTGAGTCTTGCGGTTTCCATGAAGTGGCATATTCGTCAGCTTGATGTTAATAATGCTTTTCTTCAAGGGCATCTCTCGGATGAGGTGTATATGAGTCAACCACCGGGTTTTATTGATCGTGATCGGCCAGAGTTTGTGTGTAAGCTTCGGAAAGCTATATATGGTTTGAAACAGGCCCCTCGTGCATGGTATTCGGAGCTACGTACCTTTCTTCTGGCTCAAGGCTTCGTGAACTCGGTTGCTGATGCATCACTTTTTATCTTTCGAGATGCTACCGTTCAGATACTCGTTCTTGTGTATGTGGACGATCTCATTGTGACGGGAAGTTGTCCCTCACGTGTCTCTGAGTTCATCTCTGCACTTGTTGTTCGTTTCTCTCTTAAGAACCTTAGAGCTCTCTCGTTTTTCTTGGGCATTGAAGCCACTCGCTCCTCCAAGGGGTTGTTTCTGAGTCAACGGAAATATATTAACGATCTTCTCGCCAAGACAAGCATGCATGATGCCAAGTCGGTGTCCACGCCTATGGTCTCTACCTCTCGTCTCACGATCGCATCAGGTACGCCGTTGTCTGATCCCTTGGAATACCGCATGGTGGTTGGTAGCTTACAGTATCTCTCCTTGACTCGGCCGGACATTAGCTTTGCTGTCAACAAGTTGTCTCAGTTCATGCATGCTCCCACTGATGATCACTGGCTTGCTGTGAAGTGTGTGCTCCGGTTCCTGGCAGGAACTCGAGATTCGGGAATTTTCTTCGCTGTCGATAATGCTCCATCTCTCCATGCTTTCAGTGATGCTGACTGGGCAGGAGATCCCGGTGATTTCAAATCAACGGGGGCCTACATTGTTTATCTTGGGAAACATCCGGTTTCCTGGTCATCTAAGAAGCTCTCTGGTTTGTCTCGCTCTTCTACTGAGGCAGAATATCGCTCCATTGCCAACACCTCGGCTGAACTTAGTTGGCTAAGTTCTCTTCTTTCTGAACTCGGTATCTCCTCCTCGTCTACTCCAGTTATTTTTTGTGATAATGTGGGCGCTACGTATCTCTGTGCCAACCCGGTATTTCACTCACGGATGAAACACCTTGCTCTCGACTACCACTTCGTTCAGAATCAGGTTCAAGTTGGCTCATTACGCGTCTCTCATGTCAGCTCCAAGGATCAGCTTGCGGATGCGCTAACCAAGCCTCTCTCTCGGACTTCATTTCAAACTCTCTCGGTCAAGATTGGAGTCTCTCCCGGTCCTCCATCTTGAGGGGGCGTATTGGAGATATTTATAATATCTCAGCGTATATTCATATATCTCATAAGTTTAGGAAAATTATTACACTAGGTTAACTCTCTCATATGTATATATACTAATGTAACTATCATTGTGAATTAAGCTCAATAATAAAGTCTTTCAAAGTCTTTCAGAATCACCATCCATTATTATTTTTCAAAGAAATTTGAATATAGTATGTGCGAACTTCCCAAAAAAAAATAGCATATGGTAAGAGTTTACTCTATAAAAATAACATCCCATTAACAGTTATACGATTAATAAACGTATAAACTGGAACTAAAAAAAATTCATAACTACACAACCGGATATTCCAAAATTAATGCCCGAATCGTTTTTCTCTCTCTATATATATAAATATGTATCCTTAAATATCTTATAGCTAATGATGTGTATATTATGTTTTAATCCGACATAAATAGCGCCGTTACTAATGTTATAATAAACAAAAGTTATACTTACATATTCATTCGCCCCCAAAAAAACGATATTAACTAATAATATACTTATTGGATATAAACACACATAGGTTCCTTCATGTAAGTTGTAACTTTCCTTTCAAACTCAAATTCATTTTTGTTTTTGGTTCGCCCTTCGATGCAGTACAATATCATCTCATACACCATCCCCGTCACGCCTAAGCACACGTGGCCTCGTACCCATCACGCCACGTCATCACTTCTCCCTCCCTCTCTCTCTTATAAACCGCACAAAACCCTCGATCACTGCATCCCAGAATCTTCAACAAAAAAAAAATGGAGGGTTTGATTCCATTTTTGTACAAAGCGATCGTTCATTACAAGAAAGAAGGAGCTGTGTCGTCTGCTCTGTTCAGCGATCATCTTTCTCCTCCTCCTCCTGGTTATTACATAAGACTTCCTGGAGATAATAATTCTTCGGGTAGGTTTCGGGCATCGGATCTCAACCGGGTCGGGTCGGGTCGTCATCGGTTGTTCGAAACGGCAGCGTCGTCTTCGCCGTCTCGTGTCCCAATATCAAGTCTCCGCGTAAGGAAGTGATCGCATATTATATACACATGATGGTGTGCACGTGATTGTGATGATATATATATATATATATGTATGCACAAACATGTATCAAGGAAAAATGTTAATAGTTACTGTCCACCGTCAATTACGTGCGTAGATTACGTATTTGTTTATATCATCAAAATTGTGGTAAAACTGTAAATACGATACGTTTTAAACGATATCCATAACTTTGATGACGTTACACAATATGTGTTTTTATATATGTTGTTTACAAGACCCACTATATATATATGTGTGTGTGTGTAATCAAGATTCAAGACTGTAGTTTACGGTGGAAGTGGGTTTCTTTATTTGTTAATCGTTTACGTATGTGGGTGTAAAAGTGATGCTGGTTTGGTGGCCAAAAAGGACATGCAATATATTATAATAATGTTTGAATGTTTGGTTCGTGTAATTTTTGCTTGATTGTACCATATAACATTAGGGGCTAAATTGCTTTAGGGTATGCATAATTTGGGGTCGGTTCGGTTATTCATAATCGATACAAAAATTATTTTGGTTAAGGTAATTGGTCAACCGCTTACCGGGCGGTCGAAAAGCCCATTGATTCAAGCCGTAAATCTTGTGACTTAAGAAGGCCATTGTAAAATATTGCGATATAGAGAGAACTCGTACGCGTTCTAATCCTTTTCAGTTACTTCTCAATTTATAAAAATTAGGAAAGTCGAATTGTTTTTGTGAGTATTTTTGGTTAATATAAGGTATAATTAAGATGCATGGACCCTCTATTTCTTCCAAAACATAAATATAATGTGATTTAAGCGATTTTTTATTGAACTTCTCACTACAATGGAGAGTCGATTCGTGTCACGTGTGCCGTGGTCCTGCTATTGTGTTCCGTACACTCCGCCGCCACATATCCCGTGGCCGGTCTGCTCGCCTCAGTGCCCGAACTGCTACCCGACAGTAGTCTCCTACCCGCTGAGCACGACCACCAGTCCTACGATCTGCTACTTGGCGTAACCGAACCGATATAAAAACCGAATAATGACAATTTCTCTAGAACCGAAAAAATCGAACTTGAAACCCGAGAATCCCCCTCAACATCAATTCCATCAACAGTCAACAGTCCTGCTGTTTAGCTCTGTTACTGGTAACAGAAACTGCCTTTCAAAGGCTCCTTTCAAATGGCTTTAACGATCAGCAGCATTCAATGGCTGAGGTTGCTTGGCGTACCAGAGCTTTGTCGGGTTGGATCCCGAGTCAAGGGGTGCCTTCCTCCGTGGCCCCCGAGCCCGGGCTGGCGGTTTGTACCGTCATGTCAGCCAAATCCAAGTGGTTCACCTTTCAGTTTCTGTTTACCACCTGGCTCATGTTCAGTCAAGGCAGCTAAAAAAAAAGAGAGAACCCAAACAACTGCCCAAGTCACCAGTAAGTGATATTAGATAAGCCTTGTTCAATGGAAACAAAGAGAAAAGAAAGAAGGATCGTTTACATTCACTTGAGTATGATGAGTTTTGGTAAATTTGGAGATTTGATCGTTCAGTGTCATATCAAGATCCAAAACATCACATGAGATGACACTGCGGCCAGAGCCCAGGTGAAGAAAGCCAAACCAACAGATATCTGAAACCTATTACAGGACAGATACACTTGTTGCCTGCAAAATTTGGTATCTTCCACAAACAAAACTGTAACTCCTGCAGATGAACATGCAGCTGCAAGAGACAAAAGGGCTGTGACCTGTGAAATTCCAAAAGAAAAGCATCACCACCGAAACATTCAAAACCCGTGTCCCGAAATAGTAACATTCAAACCAAAGAACTGTAATCAAGCCAGTGATGACACTGAGATAGTAGAAATGAAATGCTCTACGAGCAGATACCCAGTCACCGACAGCGAAAAGGCTCAATAGAATTAGACTCCGCAAGTCGGTTTTTCTCCTTATTGCGTAAACGTCAAGGCAAGCAAGTCCAAAGCTCCAGATCAATTGAAGACTCATGGATGCAACTAAAAAGCTGAAACCAGACACACGTTTATCATCAGACAGGCAGCACAACAAGGGTATGATGAACTGATCTAGAAATCAAATTACAGAACAGGAATCTACTCAAGTCAAGACCACCACCAAAATGACATAACTTCCGAAACAGGAAACAAAACTTGAAGACAGCCAATCTGATAGGCCATTCCGGGCCTTCGTCAGAAGACACACAAGGAAGAAGGTGGCAGCCCAGCAAGAGGCAAGCCCAGAAGAGGGAGAAGCCTAATTGGATGCTGAATTAAGGGGAGCAGGAGACGCATGGAAAGGGAATAAAAGTCTGTTATGAAGATTCCAAGGTTGTTATCAATTGTCGGTCATTTCTTATTACTCTTTTCGCTTAGCTGACGTATTAGCTGCCACATCAGCAGGTAGAATCGATAGTTCTATATCAGTGTTGAGTCTGTAAGGTGAGAGGTATCCAGAAATTAGAGTGAAAGTGAGGAAAGGGGGAGAGTAGAGCCTCTCAATAAACAAGCTCAACGTTGTATTTCTTGCTGCGAGGAATACAATCTGCGTATCTTTTCATTACAAACGTATTACATTGGTATAAGAGCCACAGCGATCCAGTATGCCACCGAAAGATCAACACCGCACGGATTCAGAGGATTCAGTCAACACTAGGCTTTCTCATTTGGAAACCAGTGTGGGCTCGATTCAAACCAACATGGGGGAGTTGCAATCCGGTGTCGTCGGGTTGCAGAAGGACGTCGCCAAAATACCGGCAATGGAGAAGTTGCTGGAAAAGTTGTGCCTCCTGCTTGGTGAGATGCGTGAGCATCCAACGCCTGCATCAACAGATTCCGCTAAACCATCCTCGTGTGCACAGGAACTGTTCCGACGTGAGGGGAAGTCTCCGGTCGACTCTACACCGCTACCACCGGGGTTCTTACTCCAGACCATCATCGATGCCCAGAAACCACCGACCACCGAGACGACAGGGGCTCCGTACATCGCGGGTACCGAGCTTAACCTTCGCAAGATTGAAATGCCCATTTTCGAAGGTTCTAATGTTGCAGGTTGGATTGTGCGAGCCGAACGTTACTTTACACTTGGAAAAATCCCTGACGGCGAGCGATTGGCCCTGGCCGCTATGAGCATCGACGGCGAGGTGCTTCACTGGTATGATTGGCAGCAGGAAAATCAACCTTTTTTGGACTGGCGGGATTTCAAGTTTCGGATTCTGGAGAGATTCGACGAGATGATTTCCGGGCCTGTCATCCACCGTTTGCTGACGTTGCGCCAAACTTCTACTGTGCTTGACTACTTGCGCGATTTTGAGGAAATCCTCGCCCAGTTGCGTCACTGCCCACACGAGTTTCTAGAAGGTGTCTTCCGAAACGGGCTCCGACCCGAATTGCGCGACATGCTGGATTTATTTCACCCTTCTGGATTAGCCCAGACTATTTCGATGGCGATCCGCTTCGATCGCAATCCTCTGTGCCATCCGGCGGCTTGGCCCAAAACGAGAGAGAATCGGGCTTTCAAACAGTCTGGGCCCAATACGGCTGCGTTTCGCACAGTATCGCTACCAACGAGTAACTCTTCTTGGCAGACACGTGGCCATGTTCCAAAAAAGTGCGAAGGGTTGGGTTCTTCCCTCCCACCGACAACTTCTGTCCCAGTTTTCGATGTCTCGTCGCCATCCCCGGCGTTCAACCCTCGCCGGATTTCCGATTCTCAGATGGAGGATCGACGCAGGAGGGGCCTGTGTTATCGCTGTGATGAAAGGTATTTTCCGGGGCACCGTTGCAAGAATCGGGACTTACAGGTTTTGGTAGTCGAAGATGAGGAGACACCGCCAAATCCAAACTCTGAACCTTCAGAGCCGACGACTGAGGAGACCAACACCGACGTGACAGAAATGGCAGGCCTCTCGTTAAATTCGATGGTCGGCATTACGTCTCCCAAAACCTTGAAAGTTCGGGGTTTCATCAATGAGAGACCCGTGGTGGTACTAATCGACTCGGGGGCGACGCATAACTTCGTTTCAGCTGCCGTGGTTTCCCAGTTACACCTTACGCCGGAATCGATTCCCCACTATGGCGTATCACTGGGCACGGGGTTGACAGTTCGCGGCAACGGGATTTGCCGGAACGTTTGCCTACACCTCCAGGACTTCACCATGTGGACAGACTTGCTTCTTCTGGAATTAGGCAGTGCCGACATCATTTTGGGCGTTCAGTGGCTTCGCACCTTGGGAAAGATATTGTTGGATTTTGATAAGCTGGAGATGAGATTTGATAAGGGGGGGTCGACAATCACACTGACAGGGGATCCTCTGCTGCATAATTCGTTGGTCACGTTCAAATCCTTGTTGAAATCCGTGGCGCAGGGGGACAAGGGGTATTTGGTTGATTTCGGCTCCATTGAGAGGGACAACACGACACAGACAGACATTCCACCGTCACTCCAGCCCTTACTCTCCCGGTTCGAGGGGGTGTTTGCTGAACCTCATGGTCTGCCGCCAGAAAGAGGTAACGAACATGGGATACCGCTTCAGCCGAACACGGGCCCAATCAGCGTTAGGCCCTACAGATATCCTCATGCCCACAAAGGCGAGATTGAACGACTAGTCAGCGAGATGTTACTAGCCGACATCGTTCGCCCAAGCAAAAGCCCCTTCTCCAGCCCTGTCCTGTTAGTCCGGAAGAAGAACGGAAGCTGGCGCTTTTGTGTTGATTATCGGGCCTTAAACCGGGCTACTATCCCAGATAAGTACCTGATACCTATGATTGATCAGCTGTTGGATGAGCTCTTTGGGGCGGTGGTATTTTCGAAACTGGATTTGAGATCGGGTTATCACCAAATCCGGATGAAGCCGGCTGACATCGCAAAGACTGCGTTCCGCACCCATGAGGGGCACTACGAATTCCTGGTGATGCCCTTCGGATTGTCAAATGCACCGGCCACTTTCCAAGCAATGATGAATGACATCTTCCGGCCGTTTCTTCGCCGGTTCGTTTTGGTATTTTTCGATGACATACTCGTTTACAGCAAGTCCTTGGAGGACCATCAAAACCATCTGCATGAAGTTCTGGCCACTCTCAAGCACCATCAGCTGTATGCGAACCTATCTAAATGTCAATTCGGCAGGCATCAGATTGATTATTTGGGTCATGTGATTTCCAGAGAGGGGGTCACCACAGATCCGAGTAAGACAGCTGCGGTCAAGGATTGGCCCATTCCTACAAACATCCGTGAGCTCAGAGGATTTCTAGGATTAACGGGTTACTATCGGCGATTTGTCCAGCACTACGGGATCATAGCTAGGCCGTTAACTCAACTCCTCAAGAAGGATAATTTTGGGTGGTCGGAAGAGGCGACCAGGGCTTTCACCCACCTCAAGCAGGCTATGCTTACAGCCCCTGTTTTGGCACTTCCCGATTTTACAGACCTGTTTGTGGTGGAAGCGGACGCTTCGGGGTTTGGGATCGGCGCGGTTTTGATGCAGAAACACAGACCCATCGCGTATTACAGCAGATCTCTTTCTGCGGGGGAACAAATCAGACCTATTTACGAACGCGAACTGATGGCCATCGTCCTCGCAATTCAGCGTTGGCGTCACTACTTAATGGGCAGGAAATTCGTTGTTCACACGGATCAACGAGCATTGAAATTTCTGCTGGAGCAAAGAGAAGTCTCAATGGAATATCATCGATGGTTTTCAAAATTGTTGGGGTATGACTTTGAGATTGTGTACAAACCGGGTATCGAGAATAAGGCGGCTGATGGACTCTCTAGGATACCGGCATCTTCAGCAATGGCATCCCTCACCATGTTGTATGCCTTATCTGTTCCACAGTCCATTCAGCTAGAGGAGGTTCGCAAGGAGGTACTAGCTGATCCGGTTCTCTCGACCATTCTGAGCAGGATACAAAATAACTCGGATGCTCCGGCCGGGTTTCATATCCGCCAAGGTAACCTCCTCCACAAGGATCGCTTCGTTATTCCACGTTCGTCCACCTTCATTCAGTTGATCCTTCAGGAATTTCACGACGGGCCAATGGGAGGTCACTCGGGGGTTTTGAAAACTCTCAAACGAATTCAATCCCTGTTTTACTGGGAGGGCATGAAGCAGACCATACAACAGTATGTGGCTAAGTGTCTCATCTGCCAACAGCAAAAATATTCGACCCTCTCTCCGGGAGGATTATTACAACTGCTGCCCATTCCCGACAACATTTGGGAAGACCTCTCAATGGACTTTATAGAAGGACTCCCTCGCTCAACGGGTTTCGATGTCATCCTGGTGGTCATCGACAGATTATCAAAATATGGGCACTTTATTTGTCTGAAGCATCCCTTCTCGGCAGTCGATGTGGCCCGGGTATTTGCCAAAGAGGTAATTCGTTTACATGGGTTTCCCAAATCCATTGTATCTGACCGTGATCGGATATTTCTCAGCAATTTCTGGACAGAGTTATTCCGTTTAGCGGGGACTAAGCTCAAATTCAGCACGGCTTTCCACCCACAAACGGACGGGCAATCTGAGGTGGTTAACCGCTGTGTAGAGACATACCTCAGATGTTTCGCTTGCAGTCATCCGAGGCAGTGGGCTAAGTTCCTCCACTGGGCGGAATTCTGGTACAACTCCTCGTATCATTCTTCCTTAAAGACAACGCCATTCGCAGCGGTTTATGGCAGGGACCCACCCCATATTCTTCGTTTTGAGAAGGGTTCAACCGCGAATTTTGAACTGGAGCGGGAATTGCTGGACAGAGATGCAATGCTCATTGAAATTAAACAGCACCTCATGCGTGCGCAGCAACGGATGAAGTTTCAGGCAGATTCCCATCGCCGCGAGGTAGTTTTCAAGCCGGGGGACTGGGTCTTTTTGAAACTCAGACCGTATCGGCAACAATCCTTAGCTCGCCGACCCTTTCAAAAGCTAGCAGCAAGGTTTTATGGGCCTTTTGAGGTGCAGGCTCGCATCGGACAAGTTGCTTATCGCCTTATTCTCCCACCAGAGTCCAAATTACACCCTGTTTTTCATGTCTCCCAGCTGAAACAGGCTATCGGCTCGGACTTTCACCCATCAGCACTCCCACCTCAACTGTCCGCAGATCTCCAGTGGCTGGCAACTCCGGGATCACTGCTTGACAGTCGCTATAACTCCCAGGGTCAACTGGAAGTTCTGATTGAATGGCAGAACACCCCTCGACACGACGCAACCTGGGAGCTCGCAGAGGTTTTCACGGAGCAATTTCCTGATTTTAAGCTTACGGACAAGCTTCGTCTTCAGGGGCGGGGTATTGATAGGCCATTCCGGGCCTTCGTCAGAAGACACACAAGGAAGAAGGTGGCAGCCCAGCAAGAGGCAAGCCCAGAAGAGGGAGAAGCCTAATTGGATGCTGAATTAAGGGGAGCAGGAGACGCATGGAAAGGGAATAAAAGTCTGTTATGAAGATTCCAAGGTTGTTATCAATTGTCGGTCATTTCTTATTACTCTTTTCGCTTAGCTGACGTATTAGCTGCCACATCAGCAGGTAGAATCGATAGTTCTATATCAGTGTTGAGTCTGTAAGGTGAGAGGTATCCAGAAATTAGAGTGAAAGTGAGGAAAGGGGGAGAGTAGAGCCTCTCAATAAACAAGCTCAACGTTGTATTTCTTGCTGCGAGGAATACAATCTGCGTATCTTTTCATTACAAACGTATTACAATCCCACAAAAAAACCTTTAATGGAAAAGTCCCATAGATTTGGATATTATGATAGTTTTGCCTCTATCCCCAAATGGGTATTGATAACAAACCCAAAAGTTTGCATCTTTCAAACGACCCTAGCCTTTCTATTCATATTTGGAAGAAGAATCTGAACCTACGAACTCCTCTAGCAGTCTAAATCAATTCATATCATCATAAATGGATGCATCTCATCATTTCAACAACAAAACCATGAATCCATTCCATCAACTTTCTGATAAAACTCTCGAGAAGATCAAATTACCAGAATGCGGTGTAACTGGAGAAGCCGAAAGTAGAAATCATGACACCGATCGAAGCAGCAGCAGAAGCACACTGCCCTAATCTCAAAATCAAACCACTCATAGTTCCCGGGCTTCCGATCATCTCCTTTTCATCTATCAGAGACGCCACAGCGAAGAACAGAGAAAGAGTTCAAGAACTTGATCGAATTTTGTGCTGAAAGGATTCTAGCTCTGTTCCTCACCCAAATCACAATCGCCCTCGATCTCAACTCTGTAAAACCCAGAAATCCATTTCCTTCTCCAGAATTTTCGTGTATCCATCACCCCATTCCTTACCATCACCCCAAAACCCCGAATTTCACCAATTCTCCACCGAATCACACAAAATTCACGGATCAACGACAAAACCCAGAAAACATAATCTGGATTTTTTTGTTAAAATAATCTGGGTATTTCACAAAACGACACCGCAAATAAGAAAAAAAAAAATCAGCACCAAACTGGAATGAAGCTTGGTTTAGGAAGAATCCCTGAGAGTTGATTATCTCGAGCTCCTCCTGCTTTTGGATGATCGATCAATCATGCTTTCTCTAACTTGAAGCCAACGAAATTAATCGAAGTCGCTGCGAGTAAAAGTGACGGGAAATTGAAATCCAACGTCGAAAAAGCATCGCTGTTTTTGACCAAAAAAAAAAAAAGCATCGCTCTTCTTTTCTTCTCGCCTTTTTGCTACGTGGCCCCAAGACATTCCTTTTGCGTTATCAGCGGAATATCCGCGCCCGTCGACGTGGAATATCCATATTTATTGGAAAAAAACACTTTCTATTTAATTTTAATTAAATTTAATAGTAGTTAATTAGGATTTGTTTTTTTAGTTAATTCGGGTCCGGGTCCGGGTCCGGGTCTAATTTGTTTTATTTAGGCCCATTAATTAATTGGGCCGTTGATGCAATCTAGAGATTTCCAGTCACTATAAACCCTAACCCCGTTCCCTTAAACCCTCATTCGTTTCTCAGTCTCGTCTCTCTTCCATTTCTTCCTCCCTGATAAACCCTAGAACACCATGTTTCGCAGAGCCTCTTCCACGGCGGCCGCTCTTGCCTTTCGTGCAGTTAGGTCTCCGGCGAGATTCGGTGCCGCTGTCTCCGTCGAGAGGTTGGTTCTCGGCAGCCAGCTCAGCCGTGGATCGGCTTCTTCGTTCGCGAGGTTCTCTACGGACGTCGCGCATAAGAAGTCCAGCTCGGACGAGAATCTGATTCGTGTGATTGACTCTGAGATTGAGTGCGCCAAGACCGAGGAAGCTCCTGACCATAACGTTGTAAGTGTTCTGTATATGTGCCCTGAAATGTGTGTATGTGTATGAATGATTTCTGGTTGTGGTTCTTAATTTGTCAACAGAAATCTAGTTTTTCCCCTTTCAATTCAAAGCATTCGTTTTTTTGGGTACCTATTGGCTTTTAAGAGGATAATTGTTCTGAAGCGCCTTGTAAATGATCTCAATATGAAAAGCTTTCGGTATATTAATCTGTACGTTGTAATGAATAACGATCCCGAATTTGAGTGACAAAGTGGAATTATCAATGTCCTGTAACCTGTTATGATTCATTCTACTAAGTAGCGTGTTATCTGTGTTTACAAAAATGCTAACAGATGGAGGAGAAGCCAGAAGGGTTTCCTTTCGAGATCGTAGATACTCCAGGGGAAAGAACTGTATTGCTGAAAAGGAATTTTGAAGATGAAACAATTCAGGTGGAAGTTGATACGCTTGCTTCTTATGAGGATGAAGGTGGGGATGAAGGTGGTGATGAGGAGGAAGATGGGGATAAAACCCGGGTTCCTATGGTCTTGAGTGTGTCGAAAGGTGACGGACTCTGTCTTGAGTTCGGTGTCAGTGCCTACCCTGACGAGATTGTGATCGATAGCTTGTCAATCAAACGGCCCCAAGACTCTGATGAACAGCTTGCATATGAAGGACCCGACTTTGAGTGAGTTTTTTGACACAAAAGCTAAGCGAAAATGTAAATATGGTGATTGGTTTAGGCAGATCAATTCACTAGTTTATAAGCCAGTTTGAATATATGTATCTCATCCAGATGTCCTGACGTTAGGAAGGTGCTTTAGCTCTACGTAGTGAACTTGCATAAAAGCAGAAATCTAGTATGAGTTTAGATCTTATGAATCATGAACCTCGTGTTTGTGTGTCTGAATGGCAGGGACTTGGACGAGAATTTGCAGAAGGCGTTCCTCAAGTTCTTGGAGGTAAGAGGGATAAAAGCAAGCACGACCAACTTCCTGATAGAGTACATGGCCAACAAAGACAGCCGGGAGTATCTGCAATGGCTCAAGGACCTCAAGTCTTTTGTCCAGAAATGAAAGATGCGTGTTTTTTCTTGATTTTACTGTGTTTTTTGTTTGAAAGCCTGTTTTCGGTGAATGAACCTAATGTCATCTTCAATGCTGAGAGATTATGATTATGAAGAAGAAGAAGATGATGATGATGAGATGAATGGAGCTTCTCTCTTGGATTAGGATTTTAACTGTTTCTTTCAATAAGTTATGGAATTTTCTTGAATTATGTTTCTGCTGTATCGAAACTATTTGAATACGTATGTGTGTTTTCAATCCATTTCCCGTGTGTCTCTAATTAGGGGTGAGTACTTCGGTTCGGTAATTTAGTTCCGAACCGAAACGAAACTAAACCGAATACCATTCGGTTTTAATTTGGTATATTTAACTGTTTCCGAACCGAACCGTACAAATATCAAACCGAATCCAATAAATACTAAACTATAATCTGAATTTTTTGTCAAATTGTGTAAATATTATGTTTCAGTGTTTATTTTGATACTTATATAGCCGTTTCGAATCGAACCGATACTAAAACCGAACTGGATCGATTTCCGATCCAATACAATTTTTATAGTTCCAGATTGAATACCAGACTGAAAACCCAAACACCCACCCACATCCATTTCTAATGGAGTTGCCAGAAAAAATATGAGAAGTAGAGATGTAAAACGAGCCGCAAATCGCGGGATGGCTCACGAGTCAGTCCATATTTTTTCGAGTCGTGTTCAAAATATTTGAGTCCAGAAAAAAATCGGATCAAACAAATCAACCCGTCACGAACCGGACTCGTAGCGAGCCAACTCGTCACGAGACAGCCTTGCTCACGGGCCAGAAAAAAAATATTTTTTATTTTCTTTTAATATTTTTATATATTTTAAAATATTTTTATATACAAATTATATTTTTATTACATATTTAGAATATAGTTTGTTTTTGTTTAGAATTTTATTTGTTATTATATTTTAAATATTTTTAAAATATTAAAATTAGTTTTAAATATTTTTTAGTATTAAAATTTTATTTTTAAAATTTATAT